ATTACCGAGCACCGGTAGATCCCGAGAGAAGAGTTCCTGTACCGGAGCCAGAAGAGATTGAAGGAGAACAGAACTGGGTTGTCCGAGAAGTAGCTGATAGCCGGGTAAATAAGAAAAGGAGACGAGTGGAATACCTAGTGCTGTGAGAAGGTTATGAAAACGAGGATGCTACATGGGAACCTTGGGAGCATCTCAAGAAGAGTGCTGAAGAAGCCCTTCGGGATTTCCATATGAGGTATCCTAAGAAACCCAAGGACAAGCGGATTGTTGGGGTGTAGATTTTTTCTTAGGTTTTCGTTCCTTGCATATCACGGAGTTTCTTGTCATATAGATTATATGGTAATAGAATGGTTATAGATCTCGGAGACCAAGATCCTGGAAGAGGGGAGTGGTGTAACGGAGCCATTTCAACTGTCTGGTGTATGAGTACACACAGGGCCCGGTTACATGCTGAGAGTTATTGTTAGAAGCCAGTTGCACGGTGATATGCAAGTACCGGCAGTGTGGTTAGCTACCAGCTGTCAGAGTAACTACATTCCGGGCGCTAGGAAGAGGACCTATTCATGGGAGCAATGACTGACGAGTCTATGCCTCGCCAGTGACTAGAAGACCGGCCAGAGTGAAGCTCTGATTGCCCGGTGATCCTCTAGATCCTCTGAGCATTGTAAGTCCGCCGAAGGGCAGGGACTATGCTAGGGAAGTCTACAATAAGCGAAAGCTCTACAGCAATGATTAAGCTTACACCTGAGCGGCAGCTCATTCATGCAGGTCCTCGGTTGTGTGGCAACCAAGGCTGCAGGTGTTACAAAGGCTTTGACTAAAGGTGGTTGCCTTGGGTATCGGAAACACCTGCTGACGCTTAGAGGAAAGCGGGGTAGTGGTGGTATTGTTTCCGGTACTGAGGGAAGGCCCACCGGAACTTAGTAAGGAGTTAGGAGCAGAGAATAGAAGCCTTCGGAGTATAAGTACTCAGGTTCATTCCCGCCCTTCAGTCCTGTTTTCTCCAGTCTTCATCAGAAAGAAAAACCAAGTTCTTATCGGTAGCAGAGCCCTTAAAGATTATTGAGTTCTAGCGATAGAATCTTTGAATAATCTGCAACCTGATTGTCTATCTTGCACGGCCGTCTCTATTCTATACAAATCTATTTCTCTTAGAAAGGACCCCCATTACACAAGGTTCTCAGGAGGGCGTCGATTGCCGAGATGGTTGGTCTTCCTCCAAATTGATTCGCTGAGAGTGTGCCTAGAATTTCTCCAGCGGTGCAGAGTCTTTGGGCCACTATCTTCTCCAGGATTTTGCTGAAACATTGTAGAAGGGAAATGGGCCGATAGGCTTTCGCTTCATGGTAGTTTGCTTTACCGGGTTTCGGGATCGGGATACACTTAGCTATTTTCCATTCCGCTGGGTGTACACCGTGCCGGAGCATAGCGGAGAACATGTCTTGGATTAGAGTTGTGTTTGCTTTGACTATTGCTTTAATAAAGGTGTAAGGGATGCCATCCGGGCCGGTCGCCGAGTGCGCTGGACAGGAGTCGATTGCTTTATTAAGTTCTTCGGGGGTGACTATGTCGAAGGTGTTGCTAAGGTCAAAAGAGGGGGGTCTAATGTTCAAAGGGGGATGGTCGGGGGATGTCCGTTTCGAGGGGAAAAGTTGGGCTCTTAGAGCTTGACACTTCCCCGCAAACGTTTCTTCACCTTGTATGGTTGGTATGATTGTGTCTCGTCTCCTTCCTGCGCTTAGGATTCTCCAGACTTCACTACCTTTCGCCTCGTTCATCGTTTTTTCCCGCTGGTCCGCTTTTGCTTTCCGGATCATGACTGTCCATTCTCTGCAAGCCTTCCGGTGTTCCTCCACGCGATTGGGTTTCCTTGTATTCCTCGCCTTCCTTTCTGCTGCGTTTACCCTTGCCTTCATCTGTTTCATCTCATCTGACCACCAGGAGTTGGCTCTTACCCCCTCCTTCGAGAGTGGTGTTACTATGCTGACTGTTGACCTGACCATTTCTAGGAAGAAATCGACAGTTTGTTCCGTATTTTCCTTGGTTTCCCATGCCTCTGCAGGGATGGAGATGTTTGACATGTGGTTCTCCAATAGCTTCCAGTCTGTTTGTCGCCACATTCGTCTTGGTACAAAAGGTGGTTTTTCCAGGTGTAAATGGACGGAGGTTCTCCCATGGTCTGAGCCCGCTCCGTAGGGTTCAGTGCTCCATCGTAGGTTGTGGTCAAGTGTTGGGCCTTTCACAAGTGCAAGATCGATGGTTGTGGGCCTTTTCCCTCTGTCTCTGGGGAAGTGCGTAAAGACGCCTGGTTCGTTCAGGAGGGTCAGTTTCTGTCGGGTTATCCATCGTTTTAACCGTGCGCCGTTGACGCGGTCTGCTCGAATGTTGTTTCTGTATTCATGTGAATTTACTCTGTACCACATTTGATGGTGGCAGTTGAAGTCTCCCATTACTAAACAGTTATCAAGGGTTTGGATTGTACTTGCTATTTGAGCGAAGGGGCCACTTCGGCCTGGGGAGTATATGTTTAGGATTTGGGTTTTCTTGGTTTGGATTTCTACCGTAATCGATACTATGAAGTTGTCATGTGTATAGTGGTGTTTTGGTTTAAGGTTGGCATGTTTGCGGACATATGTTGCGCATTTCGTATTGATATTGCTGGCTGTAAAAAGGTAAAAGAGATTTGATTCTGATGGATGTCCCTCTGTTGAGGTCCATGGTTCTTGTAATAGTAGGAAATAAATGCTCGAGTCTGTTTCTGCTTCTTCCACCGCCGCTTTGGTGATTAGTTCGCTCCGTGCACAGTTAAGTTGGTGTGCGAGCGCGGTTGTTCGAAGCCTAGGCATTATTCGTCATGTGTTGGTCGTCTTCGGGAACGGGTGTGGCTCCGACTGGGGCGGTGGCTGGTACTTGAACTATCGGAAGCAACTCTTGGACGGGTGCGGCCGGTGGGTCTTGGGCGGGTGGAGCGTTTTCCTTTCCTTTGTTGAGGAAACGGCGTTTGACTCTTTCGGGGCAAGCTGGATCCGAGGCCTTATGGATTCCTTTACAGTTCAGACATCTGATTGGGGTGTGGGTGCATCTATATCCTCCCTGGCATTGATTGCATGGGTGGAAGCTGGTGAGGTGATCTCCGGTACAATGACCGCATCTCCCATTGTTTTTGCATTTCTCCTGGCGGTGACCGTATTCGAGGCACTTCGCGCACTGGGTGTCTGGGAAGGTTGGGAGGAAGGCCTCGATGTGGCAGCTTCGGTTAAAGAGGGATAGGAACTTAACTCCTAGTGTTTCCATTGTAACTTGTCCTGGGAGCGCGATGACCATTGATGAGTGGGTTTTCTCCATTCGAGTCTCTGCTCTGGAGATCCAGCGGGGAACCTGGGCAAGTTGGAAGTTCTCTCCATAGTTGCTTCTAATTTCGGATGCTACCAGTTGTCCTGCCTCGACGCCTTCTCCGACCGTTGTGGGGATTCCGTGAATAAGGAACTTTGACCATTTGGAGTTTGCCCGGATAATGGCGACTGGTACTTGTAGGGTGAGGAGAGCCTCCTCAATTTCTTTGGCGTATTCCATTGCCTTTGTTGCTGGGGTGACAAACTTTGTTTCCAGGATAAAGTTATCCTTGGGTGTTCTCCTTGCTGAAATAAAGTGGCAGGATTCGTCCTGAATTCTTGCATTGACTACGGTCCTGATCTCGGAGGGATTGACGTCTGATGGAGCAGTGGTTTCAACAATGATTTCTCTGTTGATTTTGGTATATTCTGGCTTGAAGAGAGGGTCCGCTTTTGGCTTTGCGGACTTCTTTCTTCTCTCAACAACCTGAAAATTTCCTTTGGCAGGACCGGGTGCCGAGGCCACGGCGGCCCAGGTGCCTGCTTTCCATCCACGGGGTGGGGCTTGTTGGAGGGGTGCGGGTGGAGGGGCCTGAGGAGCTGCCTGAGGCGCTGCTTGGGGAACTGTTTGGGGGACCGCTGGGGGGGGCTTTCTCTGTCCCTGCGGTTGTTGTGGTTTTCGCTGTTGTTGCTGTTGTTGCTGTTGTTGTGGTTGCTGCAGTTGCTGCGGCTGTGGTTGTGGTTGTTTGTTGAGGAGAAGATGGATCGCCGAGTGCATATTGGTGATCATATTTGTCTGTGCCTCGATTTGGTGCTTCAGTGTATCCACTGTTCTCCGGAGTGTAGTCGTTTGCTCTTCGAGGATTTCAATCCTGTCGGAGGGTGGGCAGATTCGGCTGGTGGCATGTCTAATGGCCCAGGTGATATAGTTCAGGTCCGTCTGAGTGTGAGTGTCCTGGGGGACAACGCTCGGGTAGAGGTAGTCAATTCTCGGTTGGTATGGGTCGTTGTAGTCGGATTCTGTTGCAAAGGTCGAGGAGAATTCTTGTTCCTGAGCTCCGGATGGGGTTGGGTCGGGGACCGGGGTGTTCCTGTTCTGCGGGGGGGCTGTCCCTTGCTGGGAAGACTGGGTAAAAAAGGACTGGAGCGAAGCTTGCTGCGACATGATTGAATGTCCAGTTCTTCTGGCGGCGTAGAGTGATGTTTCGGAAAGGTTTCTTTTCCTTCCTTTCGGGAGGTCAAGGCTGGAGAATTCTTCGCTAGAAGCCAGTTTTTGTGGTGTTTCTTTCGCTAGGAACAACAAACGCGACCGTACGATCGGGGACAAAGTGGCTCAACCTGGTATGGTATACCAGGGTAAACCGAAGGGAATAAAATAAAAGTGTTTTCTTGAAGCGAGGTTAACTGTTAGGGAGTTCTTTGCGAGCCTTAGCGAGCAAGTAAAGTACAGAGGTTGCATAAAGAGAAAAGAAAAAGAAAGAGAAACAAGAAATCACAAGACAACGCCCCCCTTATATATCCATACCCCATCCCAATGCTGACTCATACCCTCGCATAACAGAAACAGAAAGAACATAATAGAAACTCGCTTTACTAAACCCAACCACACTACATAATCCTTCTCCCTTGTACCCAGACAACTCACATAGCCAATCCGACTAGCTGCCGTTACAAGGAAACTTCCCCATTTGCTCCTATAACCGGCTTATGTTCTTTCAACCACCAGTTCGGTAATATTGCATCGATGCCAAGTGGGAGAGGGGCGATCTCGAATGATAACTGTGTTTGATGCCCCCTTGAAATTATAATTAATGGTTGTGTAAAGGCGTGTCCCGTGCCTTTCATAACTTCTCCCGTAAATCCAAATACCCGGGCCGGGACGTCTCGTTTCACCTTCGGGACCTCAAAACTATCAACAAAAACAGCAGACAAAACAGGACCAGTTGCACCAGTATCCAACAACACCTTACAAGGTAAACATTTTTCCGCAAAACAAAGGAACTGACTAACGATAGGTCGAGGACCGTGAATAGGTTCCTCCAAAATTTTCTGTTTTTTCTCCGGTTGGGACGCTCTCCCTTCCTGCCTTTTTCTTTTCATATTTTTTTTGTTATTTTCCGTCAGTGATAACATAGCAATCTGGGGATACTCCTGACCTGACTCATCAGAGTCCCCTTTTAAAAATCCTCGTCGAAATCCATCTCAGATTCCGATCCGTGTTCTCGCACAAACGCTTGCCCACTGGTATATTCTGCCGCAGCCGTAGCAGCCGGCTTCCTAGCACGGTGTCTCATGCGCTTCCTCGGAGGTTGGGGTTCCGGTGGTTCCATATCGTGGTCGCCATCGTCATCGCGGGTACGCTTTCGGGAGAAAGAGGAGATAGATGCACTGCTGTTAGCATCTGAACGACACCACTTCCAAAGATGACCCTTTCGGCCACATCGCACGCAGGCTCCATCGGTCTTTCGCTGTTCTCGGACCGGCTGTGGAACTCCTTTAGTGGCTTCGTCGTAGTCGTGGTATATTGGCTTATTCCCCGACTTGTTCTTGCTGGTGCTCTTTTTATCTTGCCCTTTTTCTTTCTCCTCTGTCTGAGCCCTCCCCTTAATCTTAAACCCCTTCTCCTTTTGCCGCGAGTTCCCACCATTGTTCGACTCTCTTCCTTTCGACTCCGCTTTCCCCAACATCTTCATCTGCTCTTGATAAGCCTCGTGGGCCTTGCCGGCTCGTTCCAACTGTTGGATGTACTCGGAGTCGTCATCGGTTGGATCGAAGCGTGAGTGGCGTTCTCGGATTTCATTTGGTAGCCCTTGGAGCAGGGCGGCGCGATAGGATGCTCCTTTCATCTGAGCATGCTGATTCATGATCTCCATTCTCGTCAGGTAGTCCCCGATGTTAGCAGAGTACTTAAACTGCTGCATCTTCATCGCGTTCTCCATAGCTTCCTGAGTGCTTAGGAAGCGCTTTCTCATCTCCTGACGGAACCGGGTCCAAGTAGCGTAGTCCGCGGCTGCCGGACCTAGCATCTTGGTCTCGATATATTCCATAAACCATTCCTTTGCCAACCCACATGTATACGTTCCGGCGAACAGTACTTTGTTCCGGTCCGTTCGGAACTTCTTTGGCTTCTGCTCAAAGTAGATCTCGCACTCCATGAGCCAATGTCGCAGGTTATGCTTCCGGGCATTATCGAACTCGAAGGGTATTTTGGCGAGCGAATCTACCATGTCCTCGTCTTCAGGCGGCGCCGAATTCCGGTTCCCGCCTTGGTTCCTTCTCCAATTCTTCCGACCGTGCGACCATTCACTGTTATCGTCGTCATCGTCGTCGGAAGGTTCTGGGTCTCCCCCAACATTTCCTCTTGGTGGGTTTTGTGGAGGTTGATTCCCACCATTCCCACCAACTGGAGCAGCTCCCACCGGTCCTCTGCCACTATTGCCATGCACTGGGCCGGCATCCTCCGGTTGCCTGCCTCCATTTCCTCCTACTGGACCAGCATTTTCTCCTACTGGGCCAGCATTTTCGGGTTTCTTGCCATTGCCAACAGGAACCGTTCGGGGTGCGTTAGGGTCTAAGGGAGCACTAGCCATGGAAGGTGCTACTGACAGGTGTTGTCGCAGTAGTTCCTCCATCTCGGCTATCCATTGGTTTCTTATCTCATCGGACTGTTTGAATTGCGCAAACATAGCCCGTTGTTCCCCTTTCTCCTGCTCCCGCTCTTCTCGTACCATCCTCAGCTGTCGCTCCGCTTCCAACAGTTGGTTCTGGGTAATCCGATGGTTGCGATCCAGAACCTCGTGGTCGGCGGCTCGTGCGGTTTCTTGCATTTGCTGGACATGGGTGACGAGCTCAAAGAGCGACTCAAGATGTTGTTTTTGGGCAATGGCTTCTTGCCGTGCTTTCTTGTCCAGGATTTGCCCACTCCCTTGGACCTGTTCCTGGAGGTTTTGTAGCTGCTGCCAAACGGCCTGTCCAGCTGCACCAAGATACCTCATTTGTGCCTCATGGGTATCCAAAAACTCCTGCATATTCCTCACAAACTGGGCTTGAGCAGAGCGTTTACTCGATTGCCTAGTTTGTGTGGAGGGTCCTCCCGTAAGTAAGGGATCTGGGCTAGCAGCCCTCGATATTACCATAGAATCTTCCCCTCCGGCCTCCTCCGTTACGGCCGAGGTATCTATGAAGTAATTATCCCTTCTGGTAGTCATTGTAGTAGGGGATAATGATGATAGTTCTTTTTTTTTGAGGTGACTTCGTTACTCCAAGTGAACTTGTGAGTAACAATATACTGTGAGGGATGCGTACCAGACCACAAGAGTACACTACGCAGAGCTCAGAGTTCGGCTAACAGCTACAAAGGTAGAAGTCTCCAAGGTCTCTTCAGTCAACGTTGAGTATGATTCTCCTTGATCCGATACGGGCTCCGCGAGCTACGTTATCAACAAAGATTCACTAGAGTTAGCGTGTGATGTTCGACCGTCTTCGACGTAATAGTTCAGGTAGAGTTCGAAGTCACGATAGAGTAAAGTATTTCAGAAAGTATAGTCAAATAAAGTTGTAACTCGCGTATCAACGATTTATATTGTTAAGACTCTGATTTCGCCGATGATCCTTTGGCTAGTCAGTGAATGACACAGTATTTATATCCCTCGCTTATGTCTCGAGGACTCAGTCTACTGATAATACAGAATACACTCGGGGCATGCCCGAAACCCTGAAAAACAACCAAGAACATTTAACTCCTAAATCCGTAACCCAAACTCCTAAATCCACTAAAACCCCCCAACCTATTTATCCACTCTAATGCACGTTTCCCAGTCGATGTTTCTTCTCCATCGGTCGTCTGGTGGATAATCGTCAGTGTTGGCTGCTCGTAGGTCTCGGACTGCAAGGCTACCTACTCAGGCCTCTTCCCACATCGCTTTCCCACATAGCAGAGTCCTCTCACGCCAACAGGTACCGCCGATAGGTACTCGGTCGGCTGGTAGCTTGCGCCGATTCGCTCCGGGTGGTCCGATCTTCGATCCGATTGATTCCAGCTGTCCCTCATATATCCACCGGTCCAAAAGCACTCCCCTCCGGTGGTTTGATGCTCCGGGGGTTATTATTGGGGTCGAAAACGTGTTTTTTAACTAGGAAAACCGCAACTCCGCATTTGGTCGCATATTGATCGCACCACACCTCGTGGGTGCGAACCGGAGTTGATAGTGGTGTTGCCATTAGTATCAAAGGGTATTGGGGTATCTACTAGCCTTTCTCTCACTCCCGTAAATGCTTGGCATGCCCGTAACGGATTCCAGCTGTCCCTCATATATCCACCGGTCCAAAAGCACTCCCCTCCGGCGGTTTGACGCTCCGGAGGTTATTATTGGGGTCGAAAACTTGTTTTTTAACTAGGACAACCGCAACTCCGCATTTGATCGCATATTGATCGCACCGCACCTCGTGGGTGCGAACCGGAGTTGACATTAGCATACAGAGGGTATTGGGGCATCTACTTGGCCTTTTCTCTTACTCCCATAAAGGCTTGGCATGCCCGTAACAAATAGAGACGGCCGTGCAAGATAGACAATCAGGTTGCAGATTATTCAAAGATACTATCGCTAGGACTCAATAATCTTTAAGGGCTCTGCTACCGATAAGAATTTTGGTTTTTCTTTCTGATGAAGACTGGAGAGAACAGGACTGAAGAGCGAGAATGAACCTGAGTACTTATACTCCAAAGGCCTCTATTCTCTGCTCCTAACTCCTTACTAAGTTCCGGTGAAGCCTTTTCCTCGGTGCCGGAAACAATACCACCGCTACTCCGCTTTTCTCTAAGCGTCAGCAGGTGTTTCCGCTACCCAAGCCAACCACCCTTAGTCAAAGCCTTTGTAACACCTGCAGCCTTGGTTGCCACACAACCGGGGGCCTGCAAGAATGAGCTGCCGCTCAGCTGTAGCTTAATCATTGCTGTAGAACTTTCACTTATTGTAAACTTCCCTAGCATAGTCCCTGCTCTTCGGCGGGCTCACAATGCTTAGAGGATACAAAGGATCACCGGGCAATCAGAGCTTCACTCTGGCCGGTCTTCTAGTCACTGGCGAGGCATAGACTCATCAGTCATTGCTCCCATGAATAGATCCCCTTCCTAGCGCCCGGAATGTAGTTACTCTAACAGCTGGTAGCTAACCACACTGCCGGTACTTGCATATCACCGTGCAACTGGCTTCTAACAATAACTCTCAGCATGTAACCGGGCCCTGTGTGTACTCATACACCGGACAGTTGAAATGGCTTCGTTACATTAGCTACCATCTGTTAGAGTAACTACATTCCGGACGCTAGGAAGGGGATCTATTCATGGGAGCAATGACTGACGAGTCTATGCCTCGCCAGTGACTAGAAGACCGGCCAGAGTGAAGCTCTGATTGCCCGGTGATCCTCTGTATCCTCTAAGCATTGTGAGTCCGCCGAAGGGCAGGGACTATGCTAGGGAAGTCTACAATAAGCGAAAGCTCTACAGCAATGATTAAGCTTACACCTGAGCAACAGCTCATTCATGCAGGGCCTCGATTGTATGGCGACCAAGACTGCAGGTGTTACAAAGGCTTTGACTAAGGGTGGTTGCCTTGGGTATGGGAAACACCTACTGATTCTTAGAGAAAAGCAGTGGTATTATTTCCGGCACCGAGGAAAGGCTCCACCGGAACTTAGTAAGGAGTTAGGAGCAGAGAATAGAGGCCTTCGGAGTATAAGTACTCAGATTCATTCTCGCCCTTCAGTCCTGTTCTCTCGAGTCTTCATCAGAAAAAAATATCAAGTTCTTATCGGTAGCAGAGCCCTTAAAGATTATTTATTTCTAGCGATAGTATTTTTGAATAATCTGCAACCTGATTGTCTATCTTGCACGGCCATCTCTATTCTATCTTATTCTATCTTCTCTTAGAAGCGATTTCTGTTACAGCCTGCATGAATGAGCTGCCACTCAGGTGTAAGCTTAATCAATGCTGTAAAGCTTTTCACTTATTGTAGACTTCCCTGGTATAGTCCCTGCCACTACCGGCGTATCTGTAATACTCAGAGGATACAGAAGATCACTGGGCAATCAGAGCTTCACTCTGGCCGGCCTTCTAGTCATTGGCGAGGCATAGACTCGTCAGTCATTGCTCCCATGAATAGACCCCTTTCCCAGTGCCCAAAATATAGTTACTCTAACACCTGGTAGCTAACCACACTGCCGGTACTTGCATATCACTGTGCAACTGGCTTCTAACAATAACTCTCAGCATGTAACCGGGCCCTGTATGTACTCATACACCAGACAGTTGAAATGGCTCCGTTACACTTATGCTCTCTTTGGATTCAAATAATTATCATATTGAAGGGGTTGATATATTGGACCAGAGATAAAGGTACTAAACCAAATAATTAACTGTTTATCGCATTTGACTTCCTATTTTTCTCTGGGTTCTTGATACTGCAATAATTAATTCTTTTATTATTGCCTCTGTATCGATCCCTTATTCATCAAAAATGGAGCTCTGTTGGTTACATTACGGTTTCATTTACACCAGTCTTTGCTTCTAACATTGTCTTAAACGGTTATCAGGTGATTAGCACATGGTGAGACAAGAATGAAGTGATTAATCAATCAATCAAATGCTGAGGCAAGAAGTAGCCAGCCAGGGAGGAATCACCTTCCCTCACCTAACGGTCGTTACTGCCCCCATTCAAATCCAAAAAGGTCCAATATTTAAAGCTGCACCTCGATATATGCCCGGAAAACCTACCAGCTCTCGATAAAACGGCTGTCACCTTGGAATCATACTTTGGAATATTTATCTATAGTAAACGGATGATTTCAACAGCAATCTTAGATGTGAACTTCCACTCCCCTCGTCTGGCACCACCTACTTCTTCTCGTAGTTAAATTTTTTTTCTATTATTGCAGTCAATCGCGCGCACGAACGAAGAGATACTGATGCTCCTTGACATACCCAAGCCACTCCAGTCATAGGCTGTCACTCGTTGTCTTCTAAGCTAAATTACAGGCATGTACGGCCGTAAGATACTCTCGTTTTATTGTGAGTATCGGTACCCTATAGTGTGAGTATTGATTTCATGACTCGGAATTACTACATAATGCACCTATACCGCTCCAAAAGCAGTGATCTTAAACAATTCTTAGTAACTCCAACAGAAGACTTTCTGGAGCGAAGGGGCACAATATTCACGTGCAGTTTGCTGTTAAGCTGGTTCCGGAGCGTACCAGTAAATAAATAAGGCTTACCTGTCACGAGGAAGTATAAATACCTATATATTGTTCTATAGGTAGTGAAGGGTTTAGTTACTGAATCAACCACAGAGATAATTTTAACAAGCATATCCCATCATTATTCACCAAACAAGTACCAAAAACACACTCAACTAAGCAGAATAACCATCTTCAACCTGTAACCTCTAACGCCACCACCCGGACCACCCTCGTATCTCCTAAACACTATAGGAGCAGAGATATCCGGAAGCCTCGATATTCCAAAATGCATATTATCGGGCCTTCTCCCCGACCCGTCCTTCAACTTAAACTCACCACCCAGCAAAAGCTGCGCAAATATAACCTTCAACAGCATCGCCGCATAAAACCTGCCCGGGCACCCATGCGCCCCACCCCCCCACGCCAAAAACTCCCCCGACGTCCCCGTCAACTGAACCTATCACCCATCCCAGCCTCCTCCCTCATCTTCGAAAACCTGAACCCATCAAACGTATCCGGGTCCTCATAAACGCTCGTCCGATGTATCGTCGACGACGCACCCACAACCCAGGCACCTTTCGGTATTTCCATCCCGTCAGAAAATGTATATGGAATCATGAACTTCCGCATAACTGTGCCCAGATGCGTTCCGTTCATCCTTGCGCTCTCACGGAGGACACTATCTAGCCTGCGCATTCGCACCCAGGCCTCTTTGGTCTCTTTCACTGTAGAAGCAGTGCCAAGCTCCTGTGCGATCTCTTCCCGGACTGGGCCTTGGAAGTGAGGCATTGCGGCGAAGTCGTGGACGCAGTGCGTGCCTGCGACGGCGATGGTGTAGGTTCCCGCAGTGAAGATAAAGAGGAGCTTCTTCAACATTATCCCGATGGAGGTGTCTGGAGGACATGTATCAATAACCCACTGGAATCCGTCATCGGGCTTAACATCCCTTCTGTATTTCCCATCCTTCATGAGATTTTGGCGCTCCTGGAAGATGGGGCCGAAATAGGACATGCACATGTCCAAGGGCTTATTCCGGAATATAAACTTATTGACGAAAGGCCTCAGCGTTGCCGGAATGATCTCCAATAGCTCACTGTGCATTATAACTCCCTCAGCATAGGCTATGATATTATCCAGCAGCTCCTGGTTGCGTCACAGCGGCGCTCCAATGATAGACCGACTGATCCCTCTAGCAGCAAGCTGTATGAAAACCTCCCACACGGGCACGTCAGTCCACTCTTCACCAATCTTCGTCTTCTCATCCCACGCCATCTTGACCTCCTCCACAGCCACAGGCATAAACTCCCAGCACCTCGCGGACAGCTGCTTCAACACAATCTCCGCGAATGGCGGGTCCGACGCGGCGTCCTTGAACATGGTGAACTGTGTGAAGAAGAGATCATCCAGTGCCGCGCTGGACGAAGCAACATTTTTGGGAAGCCATATAAGTTCGTCGATAATAGTGGGCTTGTTCACAAAGACCATCCAGCGACTGGGAGAGCGGATCTTGAAGGGTAAGCCTCGGACTCCGTATTTGGCCATGCCCTCGCGGATCAGGTGCGGGGAGTTCTTCATCCAGTTGTAGGGTGCTATCCAGGGGCCTAGGAGCCCTGGTGGGACGCCAATTGTGGGGATATCGAAGTCTCCGAGGCCGTACCGAAGGTTGAGCCAGAACCAGAGGATGGGCATTACAGCAAGTACGCCATATTTCCAAAGTCCGGCCCCGGCAATAGAACCCACTGTATAGATGAGGGTTTCTACGATTGCCATTGCATTTTGTAAACAAATTGGACGAGAGCGTCCGGTGGAATGCGGCTTTTGGTGACTGAGTCTTTTACAGGCCGAGCCACCGGTATTTGAGGGAACATTCTGACGATAGGATCGAGGGCGTAAACAGAGCTTTTATAAAGTTGATAGTAGCCCCATTTCTTTTGAGGTGATTAGAAAACATTAAAGTGAGCGGTCGATTTAGGTTGAACGTAGAAAAGCTTGAGTCTGAAACAGAAGTCTCCCCACATGACCTTGCAGTCTTTTGATTGTGAAAGAAACAAGGATACTATCTGCGGAGTAATCATATATCGGTGACTGCAATTGGGTGTGTAAGTACATACTTGAACTGACGATTTGTAAATCACCCATGAAACCCTTTGATGTGCACCTTGACCAACCAGGATAGACAGGAAGTTTATGCACAACTAACTGTGGATCCTGGAGCGCCACTCTCGCTTCTCTTAAGCGAAAAAAGCCAAAAAGACCAGGATCAGACGTCATTTCTACAAGCACAATGTATGCCTATACTATGCCCGATGTTCTCTAAAGTAGATTCAGTGGGTGTTTATGTTTCATATATTGAAGCGGTCACTCGCTGCCGAGATAAGTATTCCTTCTGCTCGCGCCGCTCGCGCTCACTAACGTTGAGATCTCTACCTTGGCCAGTCACGTGCTTCAATACCTGCGAGTGATGGGCTATGACTAGGCGTCTATTTGCGAGTGACGGATCACATAGCATAGCCGCCCAAAAGGGCTGGGCGCCTCCGCGAGTCTTGGCGACTAAATATCATTTCCAGCCGGTTAAAACTATGGGCGAGTTGTCTAGCGGTTAACCGGACAGGTCGTCAGCTGAAACACCGTGGAGTTGTTCCTTCGCTTTAGAAAATGCTGGGCTCAAACCAGTTGGAATAAAATAAGGCATGCAGTCATAAATCTGCAGCACCTTTTATACTGTTTACATAAACGTCAACTTCACAACCAGGAGGACACCCAAAACTAGCGAGGTCGCACTTGAAATACCCGGGCGGTCCTTCCCGACTAGCGTGGCCACCACGACACCCTTTCTGTCACATCAAGGGATAAATTTGGCGATTCGCCAGAGCCTTCGCAACAGATATCATTGGCTTGCAGGCGTATTTGCTGCAAAAGAAATTTAGTCGAGCACATATCTATTACGTGGATTGAGTAGCCTAGGTATCTTGTAGAGTGGGATATATAGCACATTGATCGATGATCCTCAGTCTGCTCTACTAACGGGCCGGGCCCAGACCGCGCGGAGCCGCTGCAGACGTCCGGTGTGCGGTGTGCGTAGATCAAGCTTCCCGATACCGAAGTGAGGCTTTCAAGCATGCAGAGACTCTCTCTCTCTCTCTCTCTCTCTCTCTCTCTCTCTGCCCAAGCACGAACACCACGGCAGAGCAGAGACCATAGACGAAGAGGATGTTATCGGCACTAAATGTGGGGGTTGCCAATTGATACGAAAGAATATCTCCACTAATGTCCTAAGGAAAAAGAATATCCCCGTCCATCCCGTTCTTGTAATCATCCAATAAGAAAAAGAAAAAAGTTGCAAACAAATTCAGTCCCAATAAGTCAAGGCTCATCATCGCAGTCCCTGCCCAACAAAAAAAACACAAGATATATAAAGAGATGACAAAAAAAAATGAAAAAGCAGTCCGCCGGGTACTATCGCGACATACCACCCCAATACCTACGCTTCGCTCAATTAAACAAATTTTTCAAAAAAAAGAAAACGAAAACAGAAACGGAAACAAAAATAGGTCCTAGTTCGCCCCAATCCCCTGGGCCATCGCCGCACCCTCCGACGCTCTCCCGCCACCCATGCTTCTCGCCCTCTCCCTTATCCTGCGGCCCTCCATCAAGCCGCGCAACCCCCTCTTCTGCAGCCCAATGACACTGCTGACCCCGCCTCTCCACGCCTCTGCATTCTCGATAGCCTCGGCTCCCACAAACCCATCCAGGTTCCTCCTCGGTGCTGCCAGACCGCCATAGATCGCCGCACCACCACCCGCGGCCATCGCCGCGGCATTGAACACGGCCGCAGCGTTCTTACCGTCAAGTGCTTGGTGTAACCGCTCCACGACCGCTTCGAGAAGACCCTCAATGCGGTACGGCCGCGCGATCTGGAGGAGCGAAGCCAGAACCTGAGGGCTACTCTGCGGGTGGGCCGATGACGGGAGAGTGGACGTGTAGAGGAAGTGCACGAGCGCCAACAAAGTCTGCTGCGTATGCGGGAGATAGAGGATCCTTGGTCGTTCCAGCGGATTGAACTGTGTTGTGGTCGGGGGTTGAAGCTGTAGGTCTTTGCCCATGGGCTGCTGCTGGTTGATGGACAGCGACATATGCACCCTGCTCTGGCCCCCGGGAGACGGCGGTAGCTCTTTATTGGATGCGTTAAGTAGCTCGAGGAAGTATGGGCCCCAGCGGCGAGAAATGATGCGGGAGTTGACGGGTATCTTCTCGCCGCTCATGGACAGGAAGTCCATATCGGCCATCTCACGCATGCCGAACACAAGACGTCCTAGTTCCTGGGCCTCGGGAGAGAATGCACGCTGGAGGGCAGGGTGGGAGTGCATTCTGGGGTTTTCATAGAGTCCGAATGCCTCCAGCTCAACCATGCAGACATGGGTAAAGTTGATCCGGCGGTGATTGTAGTCTTCGACGAGAGACCGGCTCTTGTTGCCCAGAATTAGAAATGCATTTCTCTTGCTCCACAGAATGCCCCGATTCCATGAGCCCTGTGCAAAGACCTGGCCCGCATCAATGCGGGACCATATAAGTGTTTTGAGATTCAATGCCCAGAGGGCGTACTCTTGCTTGCTACTGGTCAGGTAGGTGCCGCTCACAACAAAGTGATCGTCCAAGACTCCGCCATTGGGAAAGCGCAGACCCGGGGGTGAGTACTGCCCGTTCATGGGCTTCTCCGTCAAACTCCCATCCGGCAATCGTATCTGAAGCTCCAACTTCACGTCCAAGAAATTGTAGTTTGAATAGATGAGCATTGCATTCGTCTCCGTCGGCACCGGAGGCGCACCGGGAACGGCTGGATCGTTATCCGCATATGTGCCATTGGTGCTGGACTTCTCGTTTCCCTTCTCGATTCCCTTCTCAATTTTCGCACCGATCATTGACGACGTCAACCCTCTGCCCAACGGCGCCACGACCGATCTATACGCCCCACAGGACCTATCCAGCGCCCTCGTCGACGTCCACTTCAGCGACCTCAAATTGAAAACATTAATCTCCTCAATATAATGATTCGCCGAGTCCTGCCCGCCCACAACCACCATCTCCGCACCCCCGACACTGTCAAGCCCCAGCCCGCCCACCACCGGCGCCGCAGCACTATTCGCACTCGTAAACGTCGCGCACGTCGGCAGCACCGTCGCGCAATGCGCATACCTCCCTTCCGGCGGGTCCTGCGCCGGTATGAACGTCCACGTATTGGTCTGGATATCAAAGATGTGTATATCACTCATGACCATAACCTCATTCTGGCTGTCGGGGCCCGCCGACACCGACGCCCCGCCTCCACCGCCAGGCGCATTCATGGTCATACCCATACCGCCGGGCCCGCCCTGCTGGCTGGTGGCCGGTGACATACCGCCAAAGCAGACCAGCTTCGTGTCGCCAAGCGCGCACATGCTGTGGAAGTAGCGCGGACGCGGGATGTCGCCCTTTGTGTCGAGGCGGACCCAGACACGCGTGATGAGGTCGAGCGCGTACATGTGGCATGTCAGCTGCGGGGTTGTGCGCGAGAGGAGGCGGCCGCCGAAGGCGTAGAGGGTGTCGCCGATGACGGTGGTGGAGGAGCCGACGAGGGGGGGGGGCTCGCGGCCGCTGGTCTTGAGAATTGTAGACACGAGGGAGGAGAAGTTCTGGGAGGTTTGGGGCGGCTGGGCAGTTGTGGGGGTGGAAGAGCGGGGGGTGTTGGCGGTTGAGGGGGGCTGCGGGTTGGCCATGATGGGGGGGGGGACGGGGGAGCTGTGGGTGCGGCAAGGCTGGCGATGATAGGGATGCAACGAGTGCTGGAGTGGAAATGGGTATGATGTTTATTCGGTTCTAATACGGCGGCCCAGTGAGTAACTCGAGTATGGTAAAGATATCTATCCGAGGCCGAGGGAGCACGCAGAATTCTGGCGGTAGTTAGTGGTTGGTGGGGGGAGATGTTCGGGGGGATGTTCGAGCCGGGAAAGGTCCAGGGGCAGGAGGCACCTTTCTTTTTCGCCAGGCACCCAAAGCGAGCATCGGTGCAGGGGACAAATCCCCGAGGGCGATACAACTCATCCTGATCCAGTACCTAGCAGCTAGTATTTATTAGACAGCGTTGGTACAGCCCTTAGTACTAGATAGCGCGAATATTAGCAGGTTGATAGTAGAAGTGCTACCAATTTGGTCAATAGTAACTCTTCCTGGCAATATTCGAGTCTATTTCCCTCCTCCGCTACTTCTTCCGTACCCCGGAATCGGCGTCAGGGGCGCCCCATAACTTCACTGCCAGGTTTCTTTTTTTTTTTTTTTTTTTTTTTTTGACAGGTGGATGGATGATAATAGATATGAACCCCGTATATACGTCACAGGGACAGCTACTCTAGAGAGCATCTTCTTTTTTCCCCTGGTCTTTTCTTTCGCATCATGTAAGCTCTCTCTGTATCTCACAAACCCTGTGGCGAAAGCGAAAAAGCAACAACAATATTAATGTCTGAAAAGCCTTTTTTGCCGGACATATACAACCCCGGATGCCACTGCGCCCAGCCCTTCCACCGACATCTGGGTCCCTCGGAGAAAATAATTGTTGAGAATTTCCCGAGATCTAGATACTGGTAAGGGACCGTGTTTTGCGGCGAGAAACGCTTGCTCCCTTGTTAGGTGTGTAGTTGGGAATCACCATTTCCCCAGGAAGAGTACCAACTTCCGCCCCACAATTCAGTAAACGCCTCGAGGCGAATTGTTCGTAGACTTCAGCTAGTCAATAATCTTCAGCTAGCCATGTTTCCACACCAGATCCACGGCGCCTAAGGAGAACCTACTTGGTAACGCCGTGTCCTAGTTCAGGAGATCGCCGTATTCTTCACAGATGATAACGGTGTGTATGCAGTTATTTATCCGCATGTAAATCCTGGAAATGAGGAGTCCATAATCTTAAAACGCCCAAATGGCCATTAAACAAGGCCGTATGGTGATGGAAGAGGCTGAAATTCTGGTGAAAAATTTTCTATCCTCCCGAGTTATCAAGGCTTGCAATTGTTTGAGGCGCCAATTGCAAGTCAGCTGGTTTACTGACTTATTCCCCCAGACACCACTAAAAAGTAAGACTGCCCCCATATTCGGATAGTCGACGGAAAGCTGTTTTGTATCTAACTGTCATTGTTGGTGGTGGCGGCGGAATTGCCTAGTCTCCCAAACATCAAGCCAGCTCTCATGAAAGTAAAAACTGTTAGCCACCTTACATGTAGTCAACCACATCGCCGAGTGACATCCCATGACCCCCTTCCCGCTCACCTCCACTTCCCACCACCTCCACTCCCCACCACCTCCACTTCCCACCAACCATCCGGGTAACCCCCTCCCGCTCCACAATCCCTATCGAAAACCTTAATTCTCAGCCTCACTTCTCTGCCCCGCCCCGTCCCGCCACACGCACAATGGCAAACTTCGACGATCTCCCGCAGCGCAAGGTGCCCGCCGCCTCGCCGGCGCCGCCGCAGAACTTCAAATACCCGCAGTTCCCAGACGGCATCCCGCGCCCGCTCTCTCCGGGGGAGCTGCCGAGTAAATACAAGCCGGCCGAGAGAAGGTAACCATTCAGCCCTGGGGGGGGGGGGGGGGCAGGAAGGGGTGGAAATGGATTGTGCTGATTGGGTGTAGGGTGAGGGTAATGATCATTGCGCTGCCAATTGCGATTGTTACCAGCTGGGTGTTGTGGAATCGACGTATGTGCCTAACCCTCCCTCCTCCGGGCGAGAGCCCTTTCTTTTCTTTCCTTTCCTTTCCTTTTCTTTTCTTTTCTTTTCTTTCCTTTCCTTTTCTTTTCTTTTCTTTCCTTTCCTTTTCTTTTCTTTTCTTTCCTTTCCTTTTCTTTTCTTTTCTTTTCTTTTCTTTTCTTTCTTTTCTTTCTTTCTTTCTTTTGCCCTTGAATTGCAGTAAACACTGGATGAGAAGCACATTGACGTTGAACTTGATGTAATCTAGTGGTCAAAGGCGAGGAGCGGAAGGTTTTGGTCCGCCACCCTCCTACTCCGAGTCCTCCTACTCCTTCTGTGGACTCGGGTAATACGGGGCCCACCACAGCATAAAGCCAGCAGTGCAACCCACTAGGGGAAGAGAAGATAGACGTCTTTGGTTTAATACCGCTGTAGAATTACACAGTGCGGTCCCAAATGGTGTAAAAGAATTCCTCTGTCTATGGAAAACAAGAAGCAAAGCACGGATGAATTGTAATATAAACCAGATTTTGGCATTCCGCTCATAACCTATTACTCACAGAGGAAGAAGAAAAGACTTTAGAACATGCATATACTTGAAATCATGATTATGACAAATTTAAATCGTGAAGAAATTCTTAGGACCAGCCACCCAGGGCTATAGAGCTACATATATACGCAGTACATCTTTCTTCATTTCCAATTGCTCAACGTTGAACGTAAAGTAGTAAGTAAACCTCCAGGTTTTGAATATAAATACCCTCCAGTAGTATGAAACCGAATAAGATAAATAAAAAGAAAAGAAAAGAACGTCACGCAGTGATCGCAAATAGAGAAATTTCAAACCATTCCCACGTTTACCAAAACAACATTAACCAAGAAACGTTTCCCATAAGTACCAAACGTGTATACACGTGCCAATAAGTAGAAACGAAAAAAAAAAAAAAAAATTCAATCCCACAGATGTAATCAAGGGCCACACACAAACAGGAGAATGGAAAGAAACCCAAAATCAAGCGCGGTATCCCCCAAAACCTAATTAACTCAGGAACATGTAAATAAAGACAAGAGAAAGGTAACCATAGGGTTCGTGAATTTCATAACTTCGTTATCGCCAAAATACCCCCACGCTTCCAAACTTTCCCGAGAGGGAATCAAAGACAAAGAAGAACGTTAAAAATAAGAATGCTATGAAAGGAAAAGGTAAAAGTAAAAAGGAAATAAACCTAGAGGGAAAGAATATCAAACACCGACTGCCGAGACACCTTCAAACTCTTCATCCTCCTCATCAACTCCAATACCACTATCATATCTTCTGCGCTTACTCTCCAACTTCTTGAATCCGCCAGTCCCAGTAACAACAGATGATGCCGGGGTTGGTGGCATGCGACTAGGTCCCCCCTCCTCATCCTCTTGCTCCTCAATAGCTCTCTTGCGCTTGTTGCTCAATCCCTCTCGCAGTTTGCTTGCCCTTGTGCATTGGTTCTTGACATCACCAAACCTTGCCATGAACTTTTCGGCTTCGTTCGCCAGGCTTGATACCGCCTCCGCGCCCTTCTTCCGTTCCGTGTCGAGCATATCTTCAAGCGTGGTGTTATCTTCTTTGAGATTGTTGATATTATCGATCAGTTTAGACTTTTCACCCCTGAGGATGGAGAGAACGTTCTCGAGCTCAGAGATGCGCTGTGATTTGTCTTCAACAAGGGCTTCGAGAGTGGTGATATCGCCCCGCATTTTCTCCTCGGCAAAGCCATACTTGGATTTTAACTCAGCGAGCTCCTGCAGAAGTGCTCTCTTCTCCGCCATGAGCGCTCCCTGGGCCTTGTCTGCCTCCTCCTGGAAAAGTTGAGACTGGCTCTCGGTGACCTTGAGTTGCTCGTCTAAGCTTCTTTCGGACTCCTCCACTTCCTCGAGAAGTGCTTCGAGCTCCTCGATACGGCCAGTAAGCTGGTTAACCTCGTCCATTTGTGAGCGAATATTTTCCTGTAAAACCCTTCTTTCCTCTTCCGCGGCATTTTTGACGGTCCTTAGCTGAGCATTTAGACCAGAGATGGTTTTCCTATCACCATCCTGCTGAATCTTGGCATCGGTTATAATTTGATGCATCTTCTTTTCCAGAACTGAAATCGCATGCTGGTTGCTCTCGATTTCAGAATTGAGTTGATTGGCAACCTTATCACGTTGGGATTCAGCTCGACGTAGCGCTGATACTTGGCGATTGACTTCCTCCGATGAGGACTTCAATTTGCCTTCAAGGACCAAAATTTCCTGGCTATTCTTTTCTGCTTGCTCACGAAGCTTTCGGGATAACTCGACGATTTCACCTTTACTTTGAGCAGCCCTACCCTCAAGTGCCTCGATAGTCTGCTGGTACGAAGCTTTCTTTGCATCCAACTCTTTCTTGGTCTCGCCGAGCTCACCTTGAGTCGCAGCAAGGACATCTTGGAGAGTTTTTACAATAAGCGCGTTCTCCTCTTTTGCTTGGCTGAAGTGATGTTCAACTTTGGCCTTGGCCTCCAATGCATCGTCCAGCCTTTGCTGTAGCTGGTTGGCGGCTTCATCCCTCTGGTGCTTCAGCTCTCGAACAGCGTTCCTGTGTGAGATAGTTTGCTGTTCGATGGTCCCAAGAAGCTCCTGTTCTTTATCAGCCTGGTCTTGGGCGGTCGCCTGCAACCTTTCGATGTCGTTCTCCTTATTTTGTATAGTCTGGGAAAGCGCATGGATTTCGATTTGAGCCTTGCTGAGCCGAGTGGTGGTGAGATTATGAGCAGTAATGGAACTGGCAATTTTCTGGTTAAGGTCGGTTTCCCTTCGGTCGGCAGAGTCGATGTCAGCTTCCATGTCCCTGATGGTGTTGTCCTTGCGAACGACAGCTTGGTTCAATTCTTCAACCCTTTCCTCGGCATCCTCAATTTGTTTCTTCAAACTGGAAAGACGTAAAGTGACAAGATCCAAGGTTTGGGATTTGTCGGGTAACTGTCCTTCACCATCAATGGCCATAGCAACATCCTCAAGATAGCTTCCGTAAAGCCTAGATTGATCCCTCTCCCTCTGATAATCCTCGCTCAATCTGCTGGCTCTGTCCTGTGCATCGTTGACCTTTTGATACAACGCTTCAACCAAAGATCCTAGCATTGTAAGGGCGTTTTCGTTCGAGCCGGTCCATGAAAAATCCTCCAAATTATGCCCTTCAAATGGAGATTCTTGCGATTGTCCACAGAGGAGGTATAATTCTTCGACACTGTTGCGAACTTTTCTAAAACGGTCTGTCAGTTTCTCGACAATCTCTTCAGGGTTAATCGAATCCGAGTCGCTCTCTTCCTCATCCTGTGCTAAAATTCTGATTTTGTTCGACAACTCAGTTCTAAGCCTCTCGTTCTCGTCAGCGCGATTTTTGGCCATGACAAGTTCTGTCAGAACCTCGTCGACCGCCATATCCAGTGATTGCTCTCCATGAATGTAAGGTCGGATCTTCTGCTGAATAATGGATTTCTCTTCGTCGGCTATCACGGAAGCTTGCTTGAGCTTGGTTATCTGATGTTGAAGTGTCTCGATATTGTGCTCCAGACCACGGTTCTTCTCGTTACTGCCCTTGAATGCTCCTCCAAGAGATTCCACCTTGTCTGACAATTGGTTAACCTCTTGACGCAGGTCATCTCCATCCTTCTTGGCGATTTCAAGGAGCTTGTTGAGCCTAAAAATCTCTGATTTATAATTTTCGATATCTTGTCTAGAGAGATCATTCTCGGCACGGGAAGCAAGCAACTCTTCAGTAACTTCGGCTAGTTGAGATTTCAAGTCATCGATATCCTGCTCAAGCGACTCTCTTTCCTGCTCCGCAACCTTGCCCGCCCGCTGTAGTGTCTCGATTTGAGCCCGTAGATCATCGATTGTGTTCTCAAGCAGATCCTTCTGTTCATTAACTTCCTGGATGGCTTGTTCGAAAGAGGCGATCTGGGTAGACAGTTCATAAAGCTGGTTTTGAAGATCTTGGTTTTGGTCACCAGAGAGCTTGCGCTCGCTTTCTAGGGATGAAACGTGAGCCTGAAGCGAGATGATATCTCGTTCAAAGCTCTCCTTCTGGCTTCTCGAGGTTTTTGCTTCCTTCTCAAGACTTTCGATGTGGGCGCCAAGTTCAGCAATATCTTTTTGGAATTTTGCATTAGCTTGTTCCGCCAAATCCATCGCATTCTTTTGAGATATGAGTTGAAGGTTCAGATTGGTGTAATCAACTTCAAGTGCCGCTTTGGCTTTGGTTAAGTCCTCCGTTAGAGTCTCCAACTCCTGCACTTTATCTTCTAAACTTTCCACATTCTCCTCGAGACTAGCTTTGTCATGCTTCAGAGTCTCAGCAGCCTCCTCGAATCTCCTACTCTCATCCCTCATCCCTTCCAACTCCTGCTTCAGCTCCTTATTGTCCTCCCGTAACTCTTCAAGTTCTTCTTGCAATCTTTCCACTTGGCGGTTTAGTATGTCGATTTCCTGTTGCAGCTCATCCTTTTCTGCCTCGAATGTAGACGCATCAGACTCGAGATCTGAGATTCTACGCTCAAGGGCGCGGATCTGGGATTCAGCTTCTTCCGTTGAAGCCTGGCTAGACTCAACAGTATCCTCCAGCTCGGCGATCTGCGCATAAGCATCGGAAATTTGAGACTTGGCATCTGACTGCTCTTTCTCAGCCAATTCCCGAATCTCCCTAACTTCATTTTCGAGACTTTGTATCTGAGTTCGAGATTCTTCTTGTGCAGCTTCAGCAGACTCAATCAGCTCCTGCATTTCCGCAAGTTGAGCCCTGGCACGTTCTCTTTCCTCCGTTGTGGTAGCCCCAAGGTCCTTTATTTGACTTGTGAGTGTCTGGATCTGAGCTTGAGCACTGATTTTCGCCGCCTCATTAGACTCTTTAGCCTGTTGCAGGTTTGCAATCTGGACATGTGCCATCTCTACAGTGTGCTCAATCTCCCTCTTCTCCTCTAAGATACCATCTTCGAGCTCAGAGATTTGGATCGTCAGAGCACGGATTTGAGCTTCCGCCTCACGTTTTGCAACTTCAGCAGCATCCGCAGCAGATTGCAAAGCTGCAATCTGTACATCGGTGGTGGCTATTTTGGCGTGGGCATCTTTCTTCTCCTCCGTGACAACCCTAATCATTTCCTGCAACTCCGCAACCTGCCCTGTCAGATCATCCATCTGCTGCTCCATTTCAAGCTTCTCTTGATCCACCACGTCATCAGTCTGTATCACTTTGTGCCCAACGTTTTCCAATCTCTCTCCCTCCATCTCTTCTAATTCGATAACCTTCTCCTCTAACTCCTTCTCCAACCTCTTCAACTTTTCGTTTTCTTTCTTCAACCTGTCCTGGGCCTTTTTGCGTTCTGCCAAGCTTAGGTGAGTCTCCTCTAGGTTTTCCTCCATTCCTCGGATCTTTCCGCCCAAGGTGTCGATAGCACTCTGAAGACGGCTATTTTGATCCTCGAGTTCCGCAATCCTTTCATTTTGGAGTCCTACCTCCACGGTTTGTTGAGTAGATGCTTCAATTCCGCTGTCAACACCAAAGGAGCTATAAGTCGCGTGCTTTGGGTGTTCTTCAATATCCGTGACGCCATCATCGAAATCGTCCGCGAGGGGTCCCATATATTCCTCTTCGTCGTCTTCCTGGTTGGTATCTTCTACGTCATCTTGAAAGGAAACAGTCTTGCCCCTAAGAGCTGTGAGTTCTTCGATTCTCTCGGCCAAAGCATGGTTTTCCTCGTGCAAGATTTGTTCTTCAGCATCATGAAAAACTTCATCTTCTTGGGCTCGAATTCGCTCCTCTTCGGCGCGTCGGGCGATATCTTGCCGCAGTGCCTCAATCATAAGCTCAAGGTCCCTGATTTTTTGGTCACGATGAGACGAAGGAGTCTGCTCAACCTGCGCGACGTCGACAGAAGGCGGCGATCTTCTAGAAGGAGTAATAGGTGCAAGGTCTTCTGGGCTATCTACCCGGGAGTAGTCCATATCGTAGTCTCCATCTTCCTGTTCCTCATTGATAGGAGCCAACTCCTCGGGCTCCACTGAAGGTGCAAACCTGGCTGCCGCAAGTTCTCTCTCCAATTCCTTGAGTCTCTCAGAGCTCTCAGCCAATTCGGCCCTGAGCTTCGCAAGCAGCTCGCGGTTTTTCTTTTGACCAGCCCGCTTCTCGGCATCGATGTCATTCATTTCCTCACTGAGGGCATTGCGGCGGAGCGCACGACGAGTGCGAGCGGACAGTGTCTGTTTCAGTGGGTAAAACTGGATTTGTTTGGATACAGGCACGGCCGTCTCAGGGAAAATAAATTTTTGCGTAGGAGCAACGGCAAGGGTGTGGCGCCGATTAGGTCGAGTCGGGACAATGCTTCGGCGACGAGAAACCGTAGGAGTGACACGAACAGGGGCCGCGGAACCTCCCGAAGGTCTCCGTTTCCGGGTGTTGGGGGTCGAGGACGCTGGGCCAGACCTTGAGAGAGGCGGACCAGGATCTGAAACACGGCTCTTTCTGCCGCCTGAAGATTGGGGGCGAACAGTGATAACGTCCAGAGCGGATACCGGAGCACCATTGTTTTCTTCAACGATGCCAGCAAGGCTGGTTCGATTTCTAGTTCGTGAGGCAGGGCTTGAAAATATAACAACTTCTGGCGCAGCTGCACCAATGGAGTTCTTGTTCTGGCCTGACAGTGCAGGGGTTTCTGTCTGAGCTGGGGAACGCATCTCAACAGTGGAAAGGCTTGTTCGAGTTCGAGTTCTTCCTGCCGGAGTGGATGATGGTGCCGCATTCCCCGTGTTGGAGGCAGGTCCTGTTTCCATCCTTTTGGCCACGCTAGCGAACACCCTCCACTCATGGTTCCTCTGGTTGACATTGTGACGAAGTTTTTCATCTGCTATCACTGTACGTAGTCGAGGAGTCAGTGTATAGCTGCCCTTTCTCTCAATAAGCCAGTTTTCGGCAACGAGCTTGTCCAGTACCTATAAATCGAGTTATAATTAGATTCTATAACTATAAGAGCCGATAAACGAAGGATAACAATACAATCTTGACGCGCTTCCTCCAAGTGGACGGCAAGAACACACGATTCGCGTTGCAGTCAGATTCATATGTTGAATCTACGAAAGAAGAGTGAAACTAGTCAGTTAAGATGAAACAAACCGGAAGTAGGCGTAGAGGAAGATACCGATAGATCGTAGTGGTATTGGAATAGTGGATCGTGAAGGAGTGTAATGCGCATCCAAGGCTGCGAGGACTCGCACCTTGTACGAATACGAGGTAGGCATTTCTAGGAGAAATGCTTAAATCTCGTGTCTTGGCCGTGTGAATCTCGAGTTTGAATTTCGTTTCTTGGTGACGTGGGGAAGTGGGGCGGGGGAGTTTTTTTTTTTTTTTTTCCTCTGTCTCGGTGGTGTAGTAATGTAGAATTCAGTCACTGTAGTTGATAAAAGATGAAAGAGGTTAGCGATATTCGGGGGCGGGGTCTTTAAAGGTTGAAAAATAATGGGATAAAAGTTCCAGCAGCTCCGGTCCGATCTAGCTGCAGTATAGCCAATTGTTTGTAGCTGCAGCCTGACGCATAGGATGGATGGAACTTCAGTACACACGTTCTCAGTATTACCCTTTGAGATAGGCAATTCGGCAGCGGCAGCAGTGATGAGCTGGAAGGCCGAAAGCCTTGCTGCAGGACAGTCGATCGAGACTCTTAGTAGTTCGTTGAATCTCAACAGAGGGCTGATGTGGTGTAGAAGAGGTGGGTGTGAGTTGACTGGACAGTGCCAGGAAGAATGCGCGTTGTATGTAGCAACCTCATACTCATTTCTCAGGGAGTGGGGTTCACCCAACCAACCTGTTGGCAGTACTTGAGCTTGGCGCATACCTTCCCTGTTTTTTTTCCTTACTCATCTTTCTCTGGAACCCTATCATTGAACGAAACCCTGACGACACAACCTGTGGTAAATGACGGTGCCAGCACTTGTCACTTAACAAAACTTGGATGTTCGTGGTCAACGATGTACTTCACACAAGAGCCAGTCAGAACCCGCAGATGTCAAACACGATTGGCCTTGTAACACATGTAGGTACCTACATACATCTCATATCGAAACCATCTATAGTTAAACTTATGACTAGAAGAACCAATGGTCGTATAGGTGTACATAACTTCGTATATGTACTTGAATGCACTCTAAGTGTCGGTACACACACTACACAACATGTATCTGTATGTTTATGAGATTATGTAGTTTAAAATGAGGTCCTGATCCGGCGTTCTTATGGACTCTGCAGTAAGTGCTCTACATAAGTGTACTAGCCCAGAACCGTTCACCTGTCGATGCAGGAACCGAAGATCTGGGATAATGCCATCACGTGAGAACGCGTTGGTACTTTACGCCCGTTGTCGTGGCAACTCAAGCCGTGCATTGACCACAAGCACGTGAAGCGGGGCTGATAATGATTAATAAAGTGAGTGATTCTTCAGAACAGGGGCACAGAACTGTAGAGTACAATACTGTAGGCACAGCTCTACAATAACTACAGTACATACTTGAATTCGTTCCCGCGAAGAGTAATTTGGAGGTAGATAAATGACCCCGTGGTGTAGTAAGATCCGCAGGAAATTCATACCCATATATATTATCAATCGCGGATCACTTGTTACAGTATATTGACTGATCTACAATACATGTAGTACTCTAAAGTGCCCACATGTTCTTAGTACATATATGTATGTAGGTAATAATAGGCCCCAATACTCACGAATTACTTGTAACTCGGTAACTTCCATACTCCTACCATCCTTAAATCCAGTTCATCGACCTCTTCATCGACCTTCACCAATATCTTGACCCTTCGTTCCTCAAGTTTCATCGCACTTTATCTTGTAGAATCTCAGACATCGAAAATGGACATAACCAAGCCCTCAAAGCACATCCTTGATCTCCCAAACGGTCAGCAATTCGCCCTTCTTTCCCTCGCGGGCCCTCGCCCCTGTATTTTCTTTTCTTTTTTATACTGACTTTTCCTCGCATATTTTAGAAATTCTGACTCTCACCCTGGATCTCCTCGACGGGGTTAGCCTTGGACGTTGTTTACAGATCTCCAGACGCTTTAACATACTCGCGAGATCGGAGCTTATCTGGGCCAGGGTCGTTTCTCCTTTACGCTTAAGCTCCCCAACGCCCTATGAATCCTTCAGAGAACTATATGCAGCACTTCACCACCATTTCTGGCTCCACGGCCGTGTTTGGCATGGTGATCGCCAATTTACAGGTTGCCTCTTCATAGCGCGCTATAATCCTGAATGCGGTGCAATTCAGATCTACAATCTTTTAGCGCATAGTATGAACTTTGATCCTTCAAGCGTGAAACCATGGTCGCTAGACCCTACTGTTTTTATATCAGATATCCAACCATTCGTACGACTATGGGAAAGCCCAATCTTTAGTCTTACGAAAGATACACTTCCAAATGCACAATTCGAAATAGAGCCGCCATCCACGTGGGGCTCGATAGCATCCTCACTTTCCCGCACCACAGTGATGCCTGTTAATCGGCAGGTCTCCTCAATGTCACTCTGGCCGCCAAGAAACATACCTTCTGCTGAGCGCACACGTAATAGCTCTGAGCATGGCTATAGAGATGGCGAGCATCAGCCGGAATTAGTAGCTGATGCTTCACAAAAGTTGTTTCGGTTCAGAAAATGGATGAGGTTCGACGGAGCCAGCGGATCCCTGGCGGACAGGTTGCCATATGCTATGAAAGAAAAGTTCGAAACCTTCGCAGCACTCGATAGCTGGCTATATACACCCGACGAACGGCACCCGTTTAGAGGACTGTGGGTTGGCGATTATTCTGTCCACGGATGGGAATTCATCCTTTTTCATCAGCCCAATCCGAATAGATTAGAAGGTATTAAAATCACTGGTGATATTCACGTGCCACGCGGAGAATATACCTTCATAGTCGAGGACCTCACAAACATCTCGCGCATTGCTCATGAGGTGGAGTGGCCAGGCGCGAAGGCTGTTAAAGGGAAGGGGCAAATTGCAGCCAGTCAGTTCGTAGACAGTCAGTGGTTACCCTTTGAACTTACTCCTATATTTTTTTTTGACGAACCAAACAGACAAATTTGTGGATATCGAGGTAATTTTTATCGGACCGGACAACATCGCGCTGCATTGGTTGGATGAAAATCTTCGCCACATTAGTAAAGTGAACAGGCTAGACATCAACAAATTCATCTACAGCAAAGCTGCAATTTCATTTACTGCTCAGGATGGTTAGCATTTACCAAGGATAAGTGTAGCATTCAGTCATTGGGAAAGATATATTTTTTTTAACTTAACTCTCAATATGTGAAAATTGGTTAGAGTTTTGATATGGGGTACTGGGGCAAGAATTCCATCCCATGGAGGAATAATTCGTGCATAAAGAGCTCTTCTAGCACCAAGTGCTATTTTACAGTACAATGTACAGATTGCGAGTCAACAGCTTTAATAAACATCGGGATTTCAATGAATATTTCCAGTCCCACTTCTACGCTTACCCACAGGCTCGTGAATATATCGAGGCACCAAAGTCACTGTTCCACCTGTATAGGATACAGGTATCGGAGCCTATGCACAATGACAAGCCACAATGGCTACGTATGCACTCCCTAGTATAATGATTACCAACATGATACCGATTTCCGGCAACGGTAGTAATCGATAGCAAGAATGTCATTGTATCGCCTTAATCTAAGATCCAAGTAATACCTATCCTCATTCAAATGTGTTTCATGTTTCTTTTAATTTAATAGCCATATTCTTCTAGCTATAAAATCAATGCCCCAGACTGCACTTACTACAGACAAACTGCAAAGCGCCTTCATCCTCAACCCTTGAGCCAATACCTCTACGGACATCTCTAAACATAAGGATTGGCCCTGAAAGAGATACAGTTACAATCACATAATCGATCGGCTATATATACCTGTGCCGAGACTATAACACCCATACCAGTTGTGTGGCTGTTTAATTTGTAGGTACATGTATGTATCTAGCTTGCTCGATCTTGAATGCACAATCATATTAAACACTCACTACATGTACGTAACATCCATTCATACTAATTTTATCAGATACCAAACCATTTTATATACATCATATGGCGTTTCAAAAATATAATCTATCATGAGTAAGGTATTCGATTTAGGGAAGGATTGAACAAGGTAACTTCATCATGAAATATCACTCGTAGCTAATTACCTATTCACCTCAATTGGTTGATTGATAATTCATTAATCTTATGCATCTATTCACCTCAATCTCACTATATGTACTATGTACCCTTGCTAGATGTATGGATTCCACGCTTCCACACTGCTCTAACTCGAAAAATATCAAATGTAAAGATTTATTTCTCGTATAAAAGGTAGATTGATTCATGGAACATCTGAAATAAAGTATTTCCGATCAAACCACTTAACATTGAAACTACCCCAGAAAGAGTGCACTACCAGAAAGCGACATCAGCATCGTGAGGAAGACAGGAATAGAGATCAGGCTGACAGAGCAGTAGGGTAAGATGTGTTGGGAACAATTGGAGGGTTAAGGAACAATGCCAGCTATATATGGAACATATCTATACGATAGCCATTCGCAATATTTTTTGAATCCATCGCGATAGCTCAGTTCCGAAAGGGATTCTGTCTAAGCCATATCTATTCTGTCTTATGTTTTCTTGAGCGCTCTTAATCTACCGATAAGATCATGCTTGAATATACCGCCGCGCGTCTAGACTGGATTATATAGATATAGGCCCATCACCAGTTCAAGCCATATGGTTGGGGTCTAGTAAACAAGGATCATGATCATGCACAGTCTATTTCATGCAAGACGTGCGTCTGTGAACGATCGATATATAGCCTAACAGCCAGGTTAATACGTCACTAATATCCCCATACTCTGATGATATGCACATGCAGTTCACTCTCATCGCGCCATGATGCAGAGTCACCATGTCTCACTCGAGGTCAATGACACCAGTTATAAAGCTTCCAGTCAACAGGAAATGGGACTTCCTGTCGCAATAAACTGCGTAGACATATGCAGCTCAGTATTCCCACTCGATAATTAAGAAAATCCCATGTGTGCCATCAAAACTCGAGAGTTTCTAGGATACTAGCAAGCATTCCTCGCTTTCTAATGACTAATGCCATCTTAAGGCATCAGCCACGCTGATAGCAATTCACTTCAGTACTTGTCGATTCACGACAAGATTAATAAAGTAGCTGCGAGAAAGAAAAAAAGAAAAATTTCCTGAGCATTGAATCTCGATGGTGGTAAGTGAAAACATTCCATGCAAATCATGACAACTTTCCTTCGCATAAAGGTTTTTCTTCTTTGATGCTCCGAGTTTGGGATATAACGGGATCACGTTTCCTCATCTTCATCAAAATTACCTCCTCTTCCCCTGCCAACCGCCCTCTCTGTTGTCAACTCTGGAACCCAGCCTTTTGGCCTTTCACTTCCTCTAACGATAAATCCACAAACTGCCGTCTCGACCTTCTCGACACATGTTTGCATGACGCCCATCTTCTTAGAAACCTCCTTACCCAACAAACCTCCTCCTCCTCCTACAGAGGTATCTAAAGCTTCGAACTGCATCCTTAGCTCCCGTATGTCGCGTAGTAGTTTCGAAACATCACCACGCGTGGCAATCATTGTAATCCCAAAGCGCATAATCTCGCCAACCAGGTCAAAGATCCCAAGGATGTAGTCTGCTGGTGTAATTTCTATGAGATTACGGACACTGTCACGCACGGAAGCGAGAGGGATGAGGGATCCGGTGAGGAGATAATGATGGAATGAGAGAGCTTCAATGTACTCTTGGATCCCACCCGAAATTTGTCTAGCGTAACGATGGGCGTTGAGGTCTTGGAGGTCAGGTGCAATCGAGGAGAATAGAACTTGAATCTGGGAGTGACGGGACTGGTATTCCTTATCCAGGGATGCAGGGAGTGGAGCTAGTAGTTTCCGAGCACTGTGTGATTCAAAGCCCAATTCAGCGGCCATAGCGGAGGTGGGAATAGTATGAGTAATTGGAATGAGGAGATGTACCGCTGGAGAGTAAAAATCCTGTGATTGTGTTAATTATTTTTTATTTTTTTATCTTTTATCAACTCCTTTATTCTTCTTTTCATGATCTTCTCCTTCTCTGAGGTAAATTCATTGATGGATTCTGTACATTTTCTTGCTGAGCGCAGTGATATCGCGCGAAGCCTTGATAACCCGCTCACGACGGTCTTGGTGCTCGTCGAGTTCATCACGAAAGTAGTTGAACGTATCGAGAATTGGATTATTGATATCTGCGGCATTGGACACTCCCTTTGCTACATGCTGGATTTTTGCAGTCGCCATTTCCCTTCTTGTGAAGTTCTTGGTACTGCTGTTAAACTGCGAGTCGAGTCGATTAAGCACTGGAAACTCCGCCAACAATAGTACTGTAGGAGTAATAGAAGGTTGTTGGTTTTATGACCGGATACTGCGAGTAGGAGAGTATGTATTTAGAGTACGAGCGAGGTAGACACGGACCGTTCTCAACGTCATGAACTTCCCGTTACTAGTGGGGTGCCCAGAATGTAAGATGCGCTGATATGAGTACTTCGGATACCCCGCCTTGAGCGGCCCATGCATGCAGCACGCTGTCCTTCTCCATAAAAATCCCCAATCTCAATTTCTGGAAAGGACAGCTATGCGAAATGTAACGTATAAATATGTACAAGTCCGTATCTAAATGACCCATGCTTACAAGTGTAATTTAAAAAAAAAAAGGCCAGAAGATTTCCCCAAACTGCCAGTAGGGTATGTATTTGTGTAGTAGAATCTACATGTGGGTATGTGTCAGGTAAGGTCAATTTGATGAGTAGACATCTAGTGCAAATCGAAACGGAAGTTTCTAGGCTGGCGACGGTGGGCATGGGTTTGAGCAGTGAAACATCAGCCGAGTACCTAATTTACCAATTTACCAGGCCCCTTTCCAATCCCCTGTTCAGAATCCCTTTCCTGAATAATCTGGCCACTGTGGTGTGGCCAGCGTGTGGCTTCTCGCTGATGCACCACCGGAAATAATTGTTCATCGCCACGAGAACTTGATGACTCCAGTCAAGACAACAGATAATAGTGGATACAGTAGTAGCGAAGTGCAGTGAAAAAAGCACCTTGGAGGGCTGAGGTGGGCAAGCAAGCTCATCACACGCGTACGGAGTGAAAAATAGATCCAGAGTAGACCCAGATCAGAGTAGAGGTGTAAGAAGTCAGTATTAGTTAGGTGGACTGCAGCAGCCTCACATCACTTTGCATATAACACTTACACACTTGTATGTACACACACTCTGCATACGGTAAAAAGAGAAGTCTAGAGGCTGCACCTAAACTCCATTTCATCGTGTTTCCCTCCACCCACCCACCAGTGTAAACATCGCGTCTGTTGCTATTTCAATCCACTTCTGCAGCCCCCCCCCCCCCCCCCCCCCCTTGTGTTTCTGTGCTGTGCTGTGCTCGTTCACTCAACAATACTGTAAAGTACTGTGCTCAATTGTGGTCCGTCCTGGCCGCCCGTCCTTCCCCCTCGGCCTCGTCATATCCGTCTATTTCACCTTCCTTCTCCTATATTCATTCCTCCTCCACGATACCTACCACAGCTTACTTACCCGCCCACCCAACGGTCACTCTTCCCTCACCAACCTTTCCACATAGGTACCCTGGCACTTCTACATACAGACGTACAGACAGACATATACGGACATACTCATTTTCCCCTTTACTTGGAAAATCTGCACTCCTTGTCGCTTAAACTCCTTCAGAACCTCGAGGAATCCTGATTGATCCTCTCATTAATTAATTACTCTTCCTCCTTCTCATCCATTCGCGCGTTACACTCACTACTCCTGAAACTTTCAACTCGCGGCTACCCTACCGGTCCAACGTCGCAACCATAGTTATTGCCCAATCCCGGCGGCGGGGCGGTGTGGAGCTGCTGCCACTATTTTCCCTCCACAAACCTAAAAACCTCTGTACCTTTCCGTCCCGCAGTACTTGAGAGAACACGCGGTAAACAGACAAACATCAACACGACTACCCCTCTCTCCCTTTTCTCTTTCCTCTTGCTCCTCTCCCGTCTCCTCTCCCTCCTTTCATCCATAGCATTCATTCATCCCTGTGATTATTCATCCACTATCCTTTATCCCAAATTCCAGCAGAACAGACTTTTCCGTCTGTAGCTCTTTGCTTCCCTCCTTTCTTCCACCGGGAAGTAATAGGGAGTTCCTCAATAAAAACACAGTCTCCAGAAGGGATCGCAAAAGCAATATCTTTCATCCCACCGTCCCCTCCCCCGTCAGCCGAGCTCAGAAATAATCCAATAAAATACACGAGATATTTGTCATAAACTAGGAAGTTTAATAGACATAAAAAGAAACAATGGCTTCCCCGGAATCGACACGTACTGGAGGTTCTCGCCCCTCCGGTGCGGGTGTTAAGGGCTTACTCGCAATGTTCGAAAAATCCAATCCCGCTTCTCCAGCTCCTACGAGTGGTAGCACTGCGGCTGGTACTTCTTCTCGGGATCAGAGCCCTGCTGCCCCTAAGCGTCTTGGTAAGGTCAAGACCGCCTTTGTGACTGTCACAGGGAACAGCAATGGGCTTCTTGGGCTGCAGAAGGTACCAGTCAGTCCCTCAGTAACGAGTCCCACAGTAACCTTTCCCGAAGGCCAAAAGCTGTCTGGAGAGGCCTTGGAGGCTTTGGGAAAGGAGCAACCTGCAATTGACAGCAGAGACCAAATTGCGGAGGCTCTCAATGGAATGAGGACACCTGATGAGTTGAGTTCCAAAAAGGATTTTGGAATTATAAACGGTGGACGTTTTTCGCAGCCAAAACAAGAACCAGTTAAGCCCACAGTATTGCTTCCTGCTTTTGAGAAGGTTTCTACAAAGAAGGATGAAACCCCAGTTATGCCAATTGAGCCGGTGCGCGAGTCAAATGAAGATAGAGAGAAAAAGGAGGATCAGGCGAAGCCTACTAAGGAAGAACCAAAGTCGAAATCTAGTACGGTCAAAGGTGCGCCGGCGCCAAGGTCTCCCACCAAATCAGCCTTCACCAGCAAAAGCACCAAGTCGGTAGCTACTAATAAATCTGGGAAGACTCTCTCCCTCCCTTCATCGAAGTCTAACACTACATCCCCGCTTCCCTCTCCGGCATTTGCCCCCAAGAGTCCAGCACGCAATGCCGCATCAAGTTCCTCACGAGCGAAATCAACCACAACTGCTACGAACACTGCCCCTGCATCTTCAAGGGCCCGCACCCCTGCTGTCGCATCGACATCGACATCGGCATCGGCATCAACATCAACAGTACCAAAGTCTCGCCCAACTACAGCTGCAGCGAAGGCGAAATCGGTAGCAACACAAAAGTTAGAAACAACGAAGCCAGCACGTGAGTCAACAAAGCCTCCTACAGTCCGTAGTTCTGCGTTCGCGCCGACTGCAGCATCTGCAGCCAAACTCGCGGCGGAGCAAAAGGCTGCGGCAGCCCGCAATACCAGGGCACCATCATCCGCGTCTGTCCGTAACCGGTCACCACCAGAAGGCTCTGTTGCCATGCGTCGGGGTAATTCTGGAACTGGTTCTTCTAGGCCCGGAAGGAAGGAACAAAGATCGCCTCAGAGACCACAAACCTCAGCTGCGATTAGGAACCCAAATAGAACCAGTGTTGGATCGCTGGCGAGCATTACCCCTGCAGGCGCAGGAGGTGATTTCTTGTCTCGCATGATGCGGCCAACAACCGCTAGTGCTGGTAAAGTTTCAGACAAGAAACCTGCGGTAGGTGCGCCCTCGAAACGCTCAGCGTCTGTAGCCAGCACAAGTCGCAGACGGGAACCATCTTTGCCGCCATCATTAGCCAGGCTGGTGAAGCAGAAGACAGGCGAAAAGAAGACAGAGGCCACTCAAGATGCTGTCCCGGAAGTGAAGGAGGATATTGCGGAAGCTGCGCAAGAGTCCAAGCCCGAGACGTCCGAAGACCCGGCAGCTCCTGTGGAAGCCGCGGCTCCTGCGGAGGTGGTCGTTGAGCAAGCTCCAGTAGAGCAAGTTACTGCTGAGCAGGCTTCTGTTGAGAAAGCCCCTGTCACGATTGAAGTACCTACCACAAAGGATGAGGCCGAGGTGAACGAGGAAGAAGATGAGGGACAATCACCTACTACCACAACATCATCAACCACCTTGGTGCATGAGGGTGAGGGAAAAGATGGCGAGGAACCAGCGCCATTGGTTAAGGAGTGATAGGAATTTCCTCAGCGAACTATGACTACCCGTATGCACGTAAGATTTTTCAATGTGCATTGCACTTGTCTATTGTATGAGCAAATTGTGGGATTTTATTATTTTCTTCTCTTCCTTTGTCTCGAGTTCTTTTATTCTCTACTTTCCACTTCTTCTGTGCTATGGTTGTTTAAGATTACTATTTTTAAAGAAGCGTTGACTAGGTGTTTTTATTTGTTTTGTTTGCTGGAGCCAACGGGGGGGTCAGAGATGTTTCGGGTGGGGAACGTTTGCCTTTTATCTATATAACATTTCTTTTATCTTTTTGATTTCGACCTCGAGAATGTATTAAGTTTCATCTGTATCTTTTTCTTGCTTCTATTCGACTAAAGCAGTAGGCATATATCCAATCTGGGGTTTATTTACGAAGCGTGTGGCGGTTTTTATTTCTATCATTCTTGATATCTTATGTTGGAGGAGAGTATAGAGTAAGAGAGGAATGTTGATCAAGACGATGTGTTAGGGTATTTTTCATTCCTTTTTTCTATTCATTAGGGCTTGGTTTTTTATCTCAGTATTATCCACTTGTAATAATTTTTTAAAGTCCATGTTGCCCATGTCCTAGCCTCGGCAGATTTTCTTTGTCATGACTTCCGTATCCCATATGCATGTATCATCTTTCGTATGTTTTTTAATGGGTTAGGGGGCATCCGCTGGGTTTTTGGGCAATTTCTTTTGTATTTGACAATGTCTTTCTACTCTGTTGTTTTGAGTTGTAGGATCTCTTGGGGATTTGTCTTTACATGTAGTGTACAGTAGGAAAGATATTCACAATTGATCCTATTCCATTAAAGTAACATATGTACATGTAATATTTGATATTTAGTACACATATTACCCAACAAGTGATCATACCATTCATGAGCGCATAACAAGTATCTAGAGCATCATGAGGACAAATAAAAAGACCTACGAAGATTGGTTGAACCCCGATAAAAGTCTGCAGAGTATTAGAGTATCTACATATAAGATGTTTGGTTGGTTGGTTGGTTTGTATGTACCTACTGTTGTGATATCTTCCCACCCTTTCGCGGTTAGAAATG